CTCTCTCCCTCCCTCCCTCTCCCCCCCTTTCTCTCTTTTTTCCAAGGGGCATTAAACACCCTGAGGGTGTTCTCTCCCAGGGGGGTCTTAACGACAGTCGCCTGCTATTGCAGCCTCCCTGGGGATGTTAACTACAGCTTAATGGTCCCCCTCCTGTGAGATGCTTCCTTCAGTCAAGTAGGTGTTGACAATACTGCTAATGAGTGAAAATACAGCCTGGGTGGGTGGTAAACCCCTCCTTGGGAAATGCTGTACAGCAAGAACTCTCGCTTTTATTGAGCACCTACTATGTGTTTACAGGGCACGGGACCCTCTGGCATCTACCTTCTCATAAATCCTCCCAACCACCTGGGTCTCAGAGAGGGAACATAGATGGCTCAAAGATGCACAGCTCGAAAGGTGTTACAGAAATCAGGAAGGTGTCTTCTTGAGGGGGCGTTCTGAGCACTCAGGTGGGTGTTTTTCACATATCCATCAGCGTGATATCTAGCCTATCAGGTCCTGGACATCAAGGGCATTGGAGCGCTATTTAGGGGCCTTCCATACCCTCTGATTGAGCACTGTGAGCCTCTCACAGGTGTTACCTACAGTCTAAGGGGGGTGTTTCTGACATCCTGGCAGGCTTTCATCTCTCCCAAGGTGGATATAGAGATAAAGCGTGTGAGAACCCTCTTGGCTGATGCTCTTTGCTGTCTTATGGGTGTCACTAACATGCCGAGGATGTTCTAGTTTCCAGAAGGGTGTTGTGTACAGTGTAATAAGCAGTATCTTCCCAGAGAGTGTGCTATCTTACTGAAGCATGTTATACAGTCAATTGAGTTCTTTCTACTCAGAAGGTGTTCTTTCTCTCCTCGCAGGTGTCCTTTTCACACAGTTAGTGGTCACCAAATACATTCTGGTTGGTAGTTGGTGTTCTAGCTGTCTTGAAGAGCGTCATATCCACCTGAAGGGTGTTGTCTGTCTCCCAAACTGCGTCGCATGCAGGTGAGAAGCCCTGCCCCACAGAGTGTGTTCCAGAACCCCCTCCTTGGCATTCAGAGCCATGCACTGCGAAGGTGCTGGAAGAGTGTTCTCCACAGTCTGGTGGGTGTCACAGACACCCAAGGGGTATGAGCGTCAGAGGCTATCTAGGTGGTAAGCTATCTTCAAGGATGCGATGGGCAGTCAGGGTCGCTGTAGACACCAGAGGGTCATGGCTCTCCTGAGGGGTCTCAGGGACCCCCTAATGAAGGGGTAGAGACACGCAGTGCAAGGACTTCCTACTGGCTCCTTGAAAAAGTGTCGTTCCATGTGGAGACAGTGAGGGGATTCGTGAGTTCTAGCAGAATGTTTCATATTCTTAATATGTTTAAATTGAAATAGTAATGCTCAGAGCAAGTGTGTGTTCTTTGGTACTTGGCACAGTGCCAAGTGAGCTCCCCATGTCCCCCTGTTTAGCCCTCCCAATAACTCTAGGAGGTAGTCATTATTATTGCCCCGTTTCGCAGATGAAGAAACTGAGGCTGGGGATGTGTAGTGACTTGTGCAAGGGAGTGGTGAGCTGTGTTGGAGCTGGAGCCTGTCTGAAGTCCTCTTCATCCCCTCAGCGCCTGGTGAGAGCTAGCAGAGCTGTCCTGGCCACCACATATCCTCTTAGGGACTGTTATCTTGCCCCAGACCCTTTCCCCTCCTGAAGCAGGTGACTCCAGGGGTGTTCCTCTGAGAAAGTGGCTTTGGGGCTTGGGGGTGGAGCCTGACTTGGGAATGGGAGAAAGATGGGGGAGCGAAGCATTGAAGGGGAGAGGGGGAAGGGGTGAAGGGATGCCATTAGGGAGGGGACAGGAGGGTGGATAATGAGGGTGGGGTCAGGCTGGGCCAGGGAGTCAGGAGGGGAGCTGAACTCTGGGGCTGGTGGTTGCTGCTCTCAGGACCCCCGAGGCCAGGGGATATTTACTTGTTATTTCCGTGGGAGCAGATCACCTGGGCCCTTCCTGGTCACTGCAGGTGTGTGTGTGTGCTCCTGTAATTGTGTGGGCATGCGAGTGTCAGTGTGTCTGCTGCCCTCCGTTGTCTGTAATTATCTGTGTGTCTGTCCACATGCCCAGGGCTCCTGTGTTAGTGAGGGTTTGTGTGTCAATGGGTGGAGTGCAGCTGTGTGTCACCACAGATCTGTGTGTGCCCATGTGTAGTTTGTGGGTCAGTGGATTAGGGAATGGCTGTGTGTCAGGGTAGACGTGTGTGTGCAGGCTGTGTATACATCCTTTCCGTATATGCTTCTCTGTGTGCGTGTCCCTGAGGGTTGTGTGTCCATGTGTCCATTAGGCTGTGTCCTGTGTGAGTATGTTTGCATTGTCTGTGTTACTGTACCTGTGTGTCCTTGTGCCTGTTTGTTCTTATGCCCGTGTGTCTGCTATCCAGGCTCTGTGCGTATGTCCGGGTCCAGTTTTGCGTGTCCAGCAGGGGTTCTGGCCTCCACCTCACGCCAGGTCCGGTTCGTGTGTCCGCGTGAGTCTTCCTCTGGAGGGGCGGAGAGGGGAGGGGAGGTGGGTGTCTCTCCACTTCTCCACCCACCCCCCCTGTCCCCCACCCCCACTCCCTCAGTCCCGGGATCGAACCTTATTTAGAGTCGCGATTCGACATCTGTTTTCAAATTTGATCAGCTCTGAACTTTATTTTCCGAGTTTGAGGAAAATTATATTCCATCGATCGCGCTCCCGCCCCCTCCCCCGCACCGCCCGCCACCGCCGCCGCCTCCATATATCTGCGCGCCGAGCCGGGCCCGGCGGCCGCGAGGGCGGGAGGCGCGCAGCGCGCGGAGGAGCCCGGGGAGGAAGAGGAGGAGGAGGAGGAGGAGGAGGAGGAAGAAGAGCAGGAGGAAGAAGAGCAGGAGGCCGCCCCCCGTGCCCCCAGCCCGGCCCGGCCCGGGCCCCGCGCCCCGCTCGCCGCGCCGCTGCCCACCCGCAGCTCGGTCCCCCAGCTTCCCGCGTCTCCGTCTCTCTCTGCGCGTCTCTGTTCCGTGTCTCTCTGCATCTCCCTGTCTCTGCTCGGCTCCGTCTCTGTGTCTCTGGCTGTCTCTCTGTGTTGGGTCTCCCTCTGTCCGGGTCTCTCTGTGACTCCCGCTCCCTGACCGTGCCCCCTCTGGCTGTGTCCGTTCCCCACCCCACCCCCGGGGCTCCGGGCATCTCCCCCCTCCCCGTCCTCCGCCCCGGTGACCCCTCCCCAGGACGCCGCGGGGGCCATGGCTACGGGACCCGAACTTTAAACACTTCTCCGGGACCGGGCGGATGCGCAAACCTAGCAAGTGAGTGAGCGTTGGGCCGCGCAGGGGCGGGGATGGGGGGCGGGGATTCCTGCCCGGGGCGGGGGCCGGGGCGCCCTAGTGCTCCCGGGAGACCTTTGGAGCGGGTCGGCTGGAGCCCGAGGCGGAGAGGCGGTGGGGTCGCCGCCCGGGCAGTGGGGGCGGGTGGGGCTGCGCCCATCCCTGGGGAGGGCTAGAGGTGCGCCCTCGAGGCAGGGGCAGGGGGCCAAGGAGTGTGTGAACGCGCGGTAGACGGGCGCCGGAATAGAGTGGGGTCTGAATATTTGGGAATGGGCATAGCCCTCCTGAGGGTGGGTCTGGACATTTGGGGCAAGAGTCCTTGTGGGATTTAGAGGCCAGGACTGAGGGCTTGAAATTTTGGACCTGGAGACTCAGAGCCAAGAAATTGGATATTTGGGGCTGAGAACTGACTGTTTGGGGCTGGGGGGGTCAGGACTGGGTTGGTGTGGATATTTGGGGGTGTGGGTGGATTTGGGGGCCTGGGAGGCCTATATTTGGAACTTGAGTTCAAGGTTGAGGGGTCTATAAATTTGGATCTGGATATTTGGTGTGAGGGGGTCACAGGGGCTGTGGGAAGGACATTTGGGCTAATTTTGGGGTCTGCACAACTCGGGGTTGGGAGTACAGGCCTGGCCCTGACTTTTGAGGGGCCGTGTCCTTCTGGTGACAGGTGGCTGGCCTAGTGTGCCGCACACCTTTTCTGTCCCAGTCATTCCACAACTGTCACAGGGCCATGCTGGGCCACCTCTACTATTTCTCCCTGGCTGCATCTCTCCTCACTGTCTCAATGTCTCTGTTCTTCAAGCATCTCTGTGTCCACTTCTTACTCTCCCAGAATCTGTCTCTCTGTCTCTTTCTGACTCTTTATCTCTTGCAGTATCTCTATTTCTTTGGGTCCAACTCTTAGACTATCTCTCAGAATCCCTGTGCCTATCTCCGTATCTTTCTCAGCATCTCTCTTTCAGTCTCTCTGTCTCTGCCTTTCTGTCTCTCACTATCTCTCCGTCTCTGTCTCTCCCAGCATCTCTGTCTCTGTCTCCCCCTCGCTGGTTTCCGCTCAGATTAAGCCGGGGACCTAATTCCAGGCCCAGGATCGAATTTTCTGGCAACAAAGGGAAATAGCGAATCGATCGGTCGCTCCGGAGATTAAGAGACAAGCGGCGCGCGGATCTATCACGGCTAAACGGCCCCCCCGCCCGCTCCCCCCGCCCAGCCGGCCCGCCGAGGCCCAGACGCGCTCCGCATCGCCAAGCAGCCTCAGGAGCCCCGGCTGCCCGGCAGGCCTTGCCTGGCAGAGCCCAGAGCTAACTGCTTGTCCTGCTGAGGGTCGGAGCCATGGGAGAGAGCTGAGAGCCAGAACTGACCCCTGGGGAGGGGAGGAGAGGGGAGTGAGTGAAACCGAGGCAGCAAACCACCCGGAAGAGTCATGCTGCACACACCTGTGGCCTCAGGTAACACCTTTCACCCACACCTGTCTATAAACACACCTGTCACAGCTATGTTCCCCCTTCAGTTCCCCACATCTGGACCTCCAGGTAACATTTGTCTTATACCTGCCCTGCAGGTAACACCTGTCCTCTGCACCTGTTTCCTTCATCTGCCCCTGTAGATATTCCTCTCACTTGCCCCTCCAGGTAACACTTGTCCCCTTGAAACCTGCCACAAAGATGCCCATACTCTCTTATTCCTGAATCTCCACTTACCTGCTCCTCCAGGTAATACCTGTTCTCCACAATCTGCCCTTTCCATCTGAATCCCTGCATTTGTTTCATTTCATATTACTTTGTTCCCCACTTCCTACTCGTACCTGCACCATACCACCTGTCCCCTAAAACTCTAAACACACTTGTTTCTCACATATTTATATTTCTTCACATCCTCCTCCCCTCAAGCATATCTACACACACATACCCCTTCCTTTGCACATAAGCATTCACACATGTATCCTCCTGATTTGTCCTCAGGTAACACCTGTCCTCTCCCACCCTCCTGGCTCTCACCTGTACTTCTCCCTTACAATGCTAATCTTGTTCACCCTCTCACCTGTCCTTCCAGAAACACTTCCCACACATGTGTCACCTGAGAACACACCTGCTTCGTGCCACTCTCTCTGCCTGTACCTACCTCCCTCACATTCTATCTCCCATCCTTTTACATAAATACACCTACTTTCACTTGATTCCCCATACCTGTCTTTTTTCTGGTTGTCATTTTAGATGACTCATCTCAGACAGCATATGAACCAACCTTATCTGTCTCCTATCCCCAACACCACCTGATTGCTCAAACGTGCCTTGGCCCCTGGGTTCTATGTCTATCCTTCTTCCTCATGTCCCTCCCCTGCCATGATGTCTCCTACAAGCCCTTGTCCTCTGAAAGTCATACCTGTCCCACTTGCACATTTGCTGTTCACCTGTGTCTGATTCCTCACTGTCTCTCTGTCTCTGCCTTTCTCTATCTCACTGCCTCTCACCACACTCAACACCACTTCACACATACACACAGTTGGGCAAGGAATTTGTCCTTGGCCACTGGTATCTGCCTCACCTGTATACCTGTTTCCCCACACCTGTTCCTCAGGTACTATCTATCTATTTTTCTTCTTTTCCCACCTGCTTAATATCTCATGTTCCTCACTTTCTTTTTCCTTGCTGCACAAGGTCATACCAATATCTCTTCACACCTGCCTGTTCCTTACCTGTCTACCTCAGACATCACCTGCTCCGGTACCACGTTCACTCATTTCTTCAGCAAACAGGTACTGAGACATCCACACTGCCCTTCTTAACCTCTTTCTGCTTCACATACCTTCACCCAGGTCTCTGCCATAGCCCTGGCCTCCCCGTCCTGTCCCCAAAGGGAACACCTACTTCTGGCCACACTCCTGCCCCACAGATGTGCACCTGACTCCCAGCACTGGGTCCCCCTCTGTCCTTCTCCTCCTCCTGATATTCACGTAACCCTTGTCCTTGCATAGCTTTTCCAAGCCTTGTGTACCCTCAACCACCTTGTCTCAGCTATGCTCATCTTCACTACCTGCTCATGCAACCTGTCACCCCATACCTTTATCGCCAAACCTTCAGATCCCTCACACCCATCTCCAGCCTGCTCCCCTCTGGAAATATCTGTCCTTTATCATAGAACATGTCACCAGCCATCTATGTCCTCAGGGAACACCTTTCTTGGTGAGTCTAAGTAACACCTGTAGCATTTGTTAAACATGTCACACCTCTCTCCAGCCGTCACACACCTGCCTGCCGCGTGGCACAGAAAGAATCCCTATCGTCTGAGCTCTGCATTTCTAACAAGGTCCAGGTGATGCTGCTGGTCCACGGGTCACTCCTTGAGTAGCATCTACTCATAACGTCTTCCCAGCTACCGCTCATTATACCTTCTCTGTGACAGGCACTGTTCTCAGTTCTTCAGATCCAACAGCTCATTTCATCCTCATGAGACCCTTATGAGGCAGGTACTTACTCTTATCCCCATTTTACAGAGAAGGAAACAGAGCCCAGCAAAATGGAGTCATTTCTTGGAGGTCTTAGAAACTGGTAGATACTGGAGATTTGCGTCAAACAGGCCATCTGACTTGTCATCTAGGTGTCCTCCCATCCCTGCCTAGCAGGTGACCTCCTTCCTCCACAGACTCATCTATCTGCCCACCTCATCACTTAGGCCACACTTACTTCTCCATTTCTCCCTCCACTCCTGCCCTGAGACGTGCCCTGCCTCCTGCTGTCACGCCCAGCCACTGCCTGACTGTGCTCTCCTGGTCAAGCTTGTCATTCGCGTGCTCATTCCCACCTGCCCCCCAGACGCCTAGAGCCAGCAGAGCCTCCTGCCAACACACATGTGTCTCCCCAGACACACCTAGGTCTCCGGAATCACCCATCTCTACAGGCACCTCTTTCCCCGCTCACCCATGTTTCCTGTGTGCCCATCCTACCTGTATTCCCTTCCTGTCTCATCTCTGCCTCCATCTGCCCATCTCCCCCGCTGCCTATCTCTGAACCTGAGTCTTTTTATCTCTTTCTGTGTCTCTGTCACTTTATCTCTCTTTGTCTCTTTTCCTCCCCGCCTATCTTTTTGTTGTCTGTGTTTCTCCATTTCTCTTTCTCGCTGTCTCTGTATGTCTCCATATCTCTTTATAGCTTTCGACTCTGTTTCTCTGTGTCCTGCAGTCTCTGTCTGTCTCATCCTCCTCCCTCTCTCTTTATTCCTATCTATCTATCTATCTATCTATCTATCTATCTATCTATCTATCATTTATCTATTCATCTCCTACCTCTTCTTCTCTGTCTCTTGTTCTCTCCTCTGACAGGGCAAATATTGGGGGGCTTGAAGTCATACTGACCCCCATTTAAGTCCAGGCATCACCACTCACCCCTGTGAAACTTTGGCCAAGTTACTTTCCCTGTCTGAGCCTCAGTTTCCACATCTGTGAAATGGGTGTCATGACAGTGCTACCTCCCAGGTCATGGTCAGGATGGGATGCTGAGGGCAGCGAGAGGACCCAGAACAGACAGGGGCTAATCTTCCATCTGTGGATCCCTCTCTCTTTCTGTCTCTTCCCAAGGGCTGCTGCCCCACCTGGCTGTCAGTGTGTGTCGTGGGGGGAACGGAGAGAGAGGTGGGCAGAGGCGTCCTGGCCGAAGCCTGGGCATGGGACCCGGTGTGGAGCTGGGGACAGGGATCGATCTGCTCGGCGGCAGTGCGCGGGCCAGGATTGCATCTTGTCACAATAATTTATTGCTCTCATCCCATCTGATCGATGGCGCTGAATTAGCACCGTGCGATGCCCCTGGAGCCCCGAGCGTCCCCCAGCCCCCTGGACCCAGGCCCTTCTCTGGCCCTTGTGGGATCCCTGCAGCCCAGGCACCCAGCTCCAGCCTGCCCAGGCCCCACACCTGGCCCCGAGCACTCAGGTCCTGCCCTCTGTCTCCTGTTTCCCTGTCCCCCTGTGTCTCTCCCCACCTCACTGC